ATTAATACTATATATATAATTTTAATTAAATGATTGATAAAATTAAAGTTATTTTTTAAGACAAATTAATTATAAAAGTATAATAAATATAATTTTTTTTTTGAACAGCAAAAGTTTCATTACTATCCTGAGTACAAGGGGTACTCAAACCCTTTTACATGAACATCAACCGATCCCCTCAGTTTACAGAAATAAGCACTATTAGTGTTACTACCATCTTTCAAACCCCTCCTACTTCACACTAGTAAGGCATGAGGCAGGGTTAATTAACCAGTCTGATAGATTGAAATAACACTTGCCTTTCCTAATTTTAATCCATGTAAATGATCTTAATTGAATAAGTTCAAAAAGTTTGATAAGGTTTACCTCTACATTGTCAAAGATCTTTTTGTTTCATGCCATCCACACCGACCATATAACTGTGTTCCAAATACAGTCCCACCCTTCTCTTTTGTGGGACTTTTTGGTCTAGGCGCCAAAGAGTTGAAACGTCTTCCTACATTCATTTTGTAGTTCTACCTTGATGCCCCACCAGTTTGCGCAAGCTCTCCATAGCCATTTGACTATTTTGCATTTCATAGGTGGCTGGAATCTTCCTCTTCCTCTTCACACAGAACACATTTTCTTTCCTCCTCCTCCTTGATGACCCCACGTTTCAACAAATTTAGCTTGGTTGGGATTCTATCAAGTAATACCTTCTAGTTGAAACCCGCTACTTTAGATGGAATGCTAGGATTCCATATTCTTTTATACATTTCTGCTTCCTCCTCTTCCCTCCTCTGATTTGTTAATAATGCGTAGGCTGTTGCTGTTGAGTACTCTCCGTCAGGGCTGTGTATCCACTCCCAATTGTCTGCGCTCCCTGGGGATATTCTCACTTTCTCGATCATGTTTTGAAGTTCTTTTGCAGTCTCGTCTTCCCACTGATGCAGGGTTCTTCTCCATGTCAAGTTCCATCTCCATGTCCCATTGAGAGCCCTTCCCATTTGAAAGCATTCTTTGTCTTTACTTGTAGACAAGATGTACAATCTAGGAAATTTATTAGCCAAGCAGCTCTCCCCACACCACTCATCCCACCAGAAGCTCACTCTTTTCCCCTCACCGACCTTAATCCTAAAACCCTCCGAAAGCCATCCTGCATTCACCCCATCTCCAGTATTTAAATTTTGGATGTCTCTCCACCATATTGAACCTCCTCCACTCCTATCCCTTACCCAATCCAACCAATGCCCTCCATTCTCCCCATACTTACTAGACATCACTTTGCTCCATAGCCCATCTTCCCCTTTTGCTAACCTCCCCCATATAATAAATATAATTTAATCCATGTTTTAAGAACATAAGTTAAAAGTCTCCTTTTTTA